GGTAGGCCAAGTGAGTTTGGAAACCTATCAGCCAGATCATTAAAGTGGCTTTTGGAAATATGTGATGAAGTGACATTTTTATTGATTATAAGTTCTGGAGTCAAACTACATGGGTTCAAATTCCAACCCACCAACCTACTAGCTTGTGACTGTAGGCCGTTACTTTACCTTTGTATTTCTCAGTGTCTTGAGTAGCTACGGTATAGCATTTTGTGAGAACTAAATAAACTAATTGCTGTACATTGCTTAGAGTGGTGATTAACAAGTAGTACACGCTCATTGCGGGCTTTCTATGACTTGAATGGGAGTGGTTAGCCCTTTAAACTTTGTGTGCTGAGGTAGGAATATAAGGAGGCTACACGAGTTGCCAAGGGGCCTGGGTGGTGCAGAGCTAAAACACTCAATGGGAACCAAGAGGTTGAGTGGGAATCTACCAGCAGCTGACAGGAGAAAGCGAGGACTGCCTGATTGTCTAAAACATTGCAGCCGTGGAAATCATAGGGAGCAGTTCTGCTCTGTCCCTACCGGGGTGCTGTAAGTGGGCATTGATTCATGGACTCACTATTTTGGATACCAGTATTCCCATAACAAGTTCTGTGGTTCTATTACTTTTTATTATTAACTAGAATTGGGAATTTTTTGCATATTCTTTTTTGAAATTATTAGTTACATATTTTACTCTTTACATGGAATTTGAGCAAGCTTTCTAGATAGAAAGCATAATTAATAATCCTTTTTAAATCCATTTATTAATGGATCTATTTGAGAGGGACATTTCCTTAGTTAGTAAAGCACTTCACTGCTATCCTACAAATGTTTTCAGGAAAAATGTTTTTGGACTTAAGAACTAGGTTATGAATCTGTTGAGGTCATTAAAGCATCTTACTCCATTCAGCACCCACCAATTGAGTATCCACTATGGGCACTGTGTCAGGTGCTAACGTCACAGCGGTGCTTTACAGCTGTACATTGTAATCCCTTCGACTAGAGAGACCATTGTCCCTGTTTTTAAGATGCAGACGTTACAACATAGAGTACAGTTAGCCAGTGTATGGCTATAAGATGGCAGGAAGACAACTCAGAAGTAGATATTCTGACTTCTGTGGTTTCCTAGGTTGTTACTAGCAGCCTAAGATGTTACTTGTTTTAGCGGGGGGGGAGGTTTAGAGAGGCTGTTGACAAGCAAATGTGAGGTGGCATTTCTGACAGACCTTTTTCTTTTAGATTACTTCAGTGGATCTGGTTCTAGGTAATGAGTCCGGAAGATGTGTGGTTTTAAGTTGGCAGGGAGGAGGAGGAGATGCTGCTTCCTCCCAGGAAGCACTACAGGCATCCCGTTCCTTCAAAAGGCGGCCTAAGCTCCCTGACAACGAGGTTCACTGGGACAGCATGATCATTCAGGCAAGCACAATGTAAGTCTGTCTCAGCAGCAGAGTGCTAAAGGTCATCCTATTAATTCTTTTAAATGCTTGGTTTAAATACGTGACTTTTAAAAAAATTTATAAGTCAGTTACTTAGCCAAGGTTTCTTTTCAGGATCATATCCAGAGTTCCAAACGTCTCTGTCCATCTGCGACACGAGCCTCCTGCCCTAATGAATGAAATGTATTGTTTGGTTGTGACTGTTCAGTCCCACGAAAAGACCCAAATCACAGACGTGAAGCTCACAGCTGGTTTAAAACCAGGTAAACACACTTTTCATTTTAGTCCCTGTCTGACAGAGGTAAAAATGTAAGAACTTGTGTCAAAGAGGGTTCTGATGTAGTGCTCTTCATAAAGTATTGATTGTGATAAGAATGTTTGAATTCTCTATTTTAAAACACAAATGTTAACACTTTCAGGACAGGATGCCAATTTAACTCAGAAAACGCATGTGACTCTTCATGGAACAGAGCTATGTGATGAGTCTTTCCCTGCTCTGCTCACCGACATTCCTGTTGGAGATTTACACCCAGGGCAGCA